ATAAAAAAAGAAGAATTATATCCCTTGGTATGAGTTTGTTGATCTCTGGAGAATCCCCTGAATAGATACTGCTTGTGTGAGTAGACGATCTAAGGGTATGAGAAAAGAAGTTGGCTTCTTTCATTTCAGTTAGCGTGAGACTTGTAGGAATCAATTAGTATTTCCATCTTTACCCTTCCCTTCCCTCCAGCTCATTTTCCATGACAAGAGTGGTTTGCCTGGATGAAATGCAGCAAATTTGGAAAGGCCAGTTTTTCATTTGGATGCTAGTCAGATTTTTGATTTTCTACAGAAGAATGTGACTAATGAAGTTATTATATTACTCCCCTTTGGATACAGATTAGATGACTAGATATAGTTATTTCTGATAAGCATATGTCAATATTTAGATAAGTTTATGTTTAGACTTTGATTATTTTTCCATATAAGGATCTCTCTGGACCTCTCCAAATCTCTGGTATTTGTGACAATTAGCAATGAATACAGCAGTACATAAATGGATGAAAAGTTAACATTTTTATGGCAGATGCTCCTAGAAATCTTAATAAGGGATCATCAACCTGCTATGCTAGATGACAGTGTGGGGCAAATGGCAGATCTCACTGCTGAAAGACACAGATCACCCTAGTTGTAATAGGATGAAATTCCACCTCCTTGCATAGTCCTGAACATATGTCTGCTTCACAGAATCACAGAATCACAGAATGGCCTGGTTTGGAAGGGACCTCAAGGATCATGAATCTCCAACATTCCCCTGCCACAGGCAGGGCCACCAATCTCCCCATTTAATACTAGACCAGGCTGCCCAGAGCCCCATCCAATATGGCCTTGAACACCTCCAGGGACGGGGCATCCACAACCTCTCTGGGCAGCCTGTTCCAGCACCTCACCACTCTCTTGGTAAAGAACTTCCCCCTGACATCCAGTCTAAATCTTCCCTCCTTCAACTTAAAACCATTTCCCCTTGTCCTGCAGTTATCAACCCTTTCAAAGAGTTGATTCCCTTCCTGTTTGTAGGCTAAACTTCCATTTACCTCAGATCATCTCTTCATTTGTTAAAGTTATAATAAAAGCACATATGCTGGAGATAGTAGACCTATCCCATCCAGTTCCCTGTGATACACTGATGGAATAACAATGAGCTTAATTTTCTATAATATTTTCTGGGTCATTCAAAGCAGTGAATTTGTGTCCATATTGGAAATACTATTGTCTCCCATAGTGTATTCACCTATGCCTTGTGGATTGTTTTAGAAAAAGATTTTTCAAAATTCATTAGTATCACATTAAAATAGAAATTGCTGTCAAACTTATTTGCTATTCAAAAATGGAAAGTGGTCTGAAGGACAGCGAGAATTTGTTGGCATTAAAGAATTTTCTAGCTTAAAAAATACTTTGCTAGAAAGCTATCTTATAATCATTGTAACAATCTACTGAAAGTAGTCTAAAGTTGCAGTATTCTATCCCATCTCAGTCAAAACTGGTTTCTATTAAAAAAAAAAAAATTTTTTTTGTTAAATATATAAATAGATGATTAATGAAAATGAAAGATTTCAGAATACTCTTTGCTTTATGGGCTCAAACAGCATTGCTACTCAATTGGAAATAATAGCTTTTGGGCTAAAATAGGATATATTTTGCTCATCTCCCCCCATCTAACTCTAATTCATATACAACACTGTATTAATTTTTAATTTTAATTTGTTTGTGTTATGGTGCCTTATCCAGTTGTATATAGCTACTACAGCTGTGCCATCTTGTGGTCTGCACAAAGCTGGAAGGTTTTGCAGACAGAATTTACTGAAAGTGTAACAACTTGTCATCACTCTGGGCCCCTCTCTACAAGAAGGACATGCAGGAAAGTGCTCAGAGCAAAACAACAGAGCTGGTAAAAGGACTTAAAAACAAGACTTGTGAACAGCGACTGAGGGAGCTGGTGGTGTTTAGTCTGGAGAAAGGGAGGATAAAGGGAGAGCTCATGGCTCTCTACAGCTACCTGAAAGGAGCTTGCAACAAGGAGCTGTGGATATCTTTTCTTACATGACAAGTGACAGGACACAAGGAAACTGCAACAGGTTGCATCATGGGAGGTTTAGTTTGGACATTAGAAGGAATTTTTTCATGGAAAGGATGGTTAAGCATTGGAAGGGACTGCCAAAAGATGTTGTGGAGTCACTATCCCTGGAAGTATTTAAGAGACATGGGGGCATGGCAGTGTGGGACATGACTTATGGTGGACTTGGTAGTATTAGGTTGATGGTTGGACACGGTAATCTTAAAGGTCTTTTCCAACATTAGTATTTCTGTGATTCCATGATCAACCAGAGGCAAGAAAGCTTGAATCAAATGTTTGCGCTTTGTTAAGCAGAGGATCTTGATATTTTCACAGAGAAGAATTGCAAGCACTTGCAACCCAGATGAGAATTTCCTGAGAAGGAATGCAAGAGGCTTTCCCAACCCGCTCCCACCAGCAGGGTGGTGCAGCTCAGGGTCCAGGGTACTGTTGCTGAGCATCTGGTAAGCAACAACTGATGCACTTGTGGGGCTGGAGCAAAGGAAAATTGTGAGTACAGTTAGAGATGACTGAACCCACTGCAGATCCTTGGAGAACTCTATCAATGACCTTCTTCCAGCACAGTTATTTTCTTTTCAATAGAATCAGATTGTTATCTTCCCTCTTCCAAATCTCATTCACTTTTATGGTTCTTTTATGAGTTCCTTTCTCATTCATCTAGCAGATATGGTCCCATGTGGCAGTGCATTAAATGTTTTCCTGAAATTCAAATAGATGAGATCTGCATTTCCTATGCAGACCTGTTAGCATATCAAAGAAGCATAGCCTGGCATGATCTACCATTGGTAAACACATGCTGCCTTTGATCTCATTTTCTATTAACCTCCATGGGCTAAAATGATAATAGATGTGCAGTGTTTCTAACTAGAAATCAGAGTTCCCACGAGTCTCATTTTTATTTCTGCTTTAATGGTTTCCTTTTGTTCCCTTCATTCTTGCTTTTACATTCATGAGTACGAACATGAGGTTAAATAAATATACAGATAACGCTCCTGAAAAGCAGGAGATTAACAGCTGAGCAGCTGAACACTATTAATCTACACATCAGGTACGGCACAGGCTACAGCTTAAGGAAATGCACTCACATCTGTTGCAGACTGCACTAGAGAAGACTGGACAGAAAGGGTGGGTGCAAAGGCCTAGAAGACAACATCTGCAACAGGCTAAGGGAGCTGGGCTTGTTCAGCCTGGAGAAAAGAAGGCTGCAGGGTGACCTCATTGCAGCCTTTCAGTACCTAAAGGGAGCCTACAAACAGGAGGGGAATCAACTCTTTGAAAGGGTAGATAACAGCAGGACAAGGGGAAATGGTTTTAAGTTGAGGGAGGGGAGATTTAGGTTGGATGCCAGGAGGAAGTTCTTTACAGAGAGAGTGGTGAGGTGCTGGAACAGGCTGCCCAGAGAGGTTGTGGATGCCCCGTCCCTGGAGGTATTCAAGGCCATATTGGATGGGGCTCTGAGCAGCCTGGTCTAGTATTAAATGTGGAGGTTGCATGTGGCAGGGGGGTTGGAGATTCATGATCCTTGAGGTTCCTTCCAACCGAGGCCATTCTGTGATTATACTCAACAGCCTGTCTTGCTCCAGTTAACAGAAGTGAGATGATTAGTGAAGAATATACTCAGCGTAAGATTAAGACTCGAATATTTGCCTAACTGTTTTTATTATAAGTCTTGGTTATCTAGGCTTGGGGGAGGGAGCATTACATTATAGTAATGCAGAAATAATTACCACCGCAGTGCCACAATGTTCAACGAGTCTTCCAATCTGCTGTGAGGGTGGTGGTGTGCACATTCTCTTTCTTGGTCGATCACAGGGAAGTTTCTGCAGGAAGGGAAAAAAAACACACCATGAAAAAAAGCAAAAGAAGGACACATCTTTGTTTGCAGAGTCCTTATATAAACTGTCCAGTTCTTCTCAGATTGCCTATAGTAACAGCACGTCCAACACAGGTGCAACAGTCCAGTGCAGGCCTACTGACATCAGAGCAGCCAGCACCCCCACACAAGGCTGAGCTGCCCCATTTTCAGAGTAGTGTGGAATGCAACAGGCATCAAGACATTCTTCTTCACTGTTGCTGGCACCCCTGTGCAGGCAGAAATGCATCTGGTTGTCCTTGCATCTCAAAGCAATCTTTGAGACAAAAGGAGTTTTGTATATTGTCTTGAATCATAGAATCATAGAATCACCAAGGTTGGAGAAGACCTAGAAGATCACCCAGTCCAACCATCCACCTATCACCAGTAGTTCTCACTAAACCATGTCCCTCAACACAACGTCCAAACATCCCTTGAACACCTCCAGGGTCGGTGACTTCACCATCTCCCTGGGCAGCCCATTCCAGTGCTTGACCACTCTTTCAGAGAAGTAGTATTTCCTAACGTTCAGCCTGAATCTCTCCTGGTGCAACTTGAGGCCATTCTCTCTAGTCCTATCACCAGTTGCATGAGAGAAGAGGCTGGACCCCAGCTCACCACAACCTCCCTTCAGTTACAGAGGGCAATAAGGCCTCCCCTTAGCCTCCTCTTCTCCCAGCTTCCTCAGCTGCTCCCCATAAGACTTGTGCTCCAGACCCCTCACCAGCCTTATTGCCCTTTTCAGAACACACTCCAAGGCCTCAATGTCTTTCTAGCAGTGGGGGGCCGAAAACTGAACACAGTACTTGAGGTGCAGCCTCACCAGTGCTGAGTACAGAGTGACAATTACTTCCCTGCTCCTACTAGCAACACTATTTCTGATACATTTCTGTATGGGAATTGCTGAATCATGGCCTGAACCTCTGATTGATCAGCTGAGGTGAGCAATGAGTCAGCCCTGGGAGCACAGGTGAAGGCAATTCACCTGTACTGCCAGAAGGGGTGGGACTTGGCTCCACCTCTCATAGACCCATTTAAGAGCTGACCACCAGTAGAGAAGGGTCTCTTTCTGGAGATCCCTCTTTTTGGAGTTTTCCTGAAAGCCCAGGACAAGGGTTAGTCCTCTGTCTATTCTTTTTTTGGTGTAGTAACCTGCTTAGCCAAGCTCTCTTGTATGTTTCCGAATTATAACATCTGTATATTTGTTGGTTATACAGTTTCTTATACAGCTATACACCAAATTGGTCAGAAGCAATCAATAGGGTTCAGGCTAGTCTTGCACTGCCTCTGGGCATGGGCATCCAACATCACGTTGGATGATGTTGAACTCCATTCCTTGAGCAGAACCACTGACTGTCTCCAGCCACAGGTATGAACTCTGCCTCTTATGAGCAGTACTGTCAAGTCTTTGAAAAGAATGTGTTTTTCACATTTATTTTTTAAGTAGTCTTCTCTTACACTTCAAAGTTCACTTCTTTTTTTCTCTATTGCAATTTTGCTGGAAAAAAAAAATAACAAAATCAAGCTGTTTTCAGCTTAAGAGCAAAATGACCCAGGCTGCAGGCATGCTGTGGTCTTCCATCTGAACTCTGATCTGCCATGGGTGGAGTGTTCCTCTTTTAATTTTGATTTTACTTGTTACGCCGCAGCTTAATGCTGTCTAACTGAAAGCTTTAGGGAATTTTCTCCAGTCTGTCCTAATTGAAGTGCACAGCATATTTTCAGTAGATGTGCCTTATTCTTGCTCTCAAACAGTGTTAGTTAAACAGTCTGTTTGAATAATTTTTTCAACTTCTGTAGCAGCGTTCACTCAGTGTGTAAATCATCAAGTATGCTTGTGAATAATACATTTGACAGGATTTGTAATACATAAAAATTATGTTGACAAACGCTCAGATAATTGTTTCTTAAAAAGTAGAAGGAACAGAATATTTATTTCACCTTTTTTTAAAATAGATTTTAGTAACTTAAAAGGGACGAATAATTTTTCACAATTTCTCATATTTTGAAGTATAAGCATTATGCTTATATTTATTTTAATTGATTTTGAGCTTATTAAGTTTTTAAACAAAAATCAGAGCTGTAATCACTTAGCAGCACAAAAGTGGTTTGAACAATTTAACTAATTTCTTGGTTTTGTAGTTTCCAATGAGTGTTTGAAACTTTACGCTTAAGAAATTTTAAATCTTACCTACTGAGTCATTAAAACATGATTTCAAGCTATGCAAAGCTAACTTCACGTTCTTATCTTTATGACATTCAGCAGGTTTTTTCAGCCTAGAGAAAGCCATTGTGTAGGGAAAGAGATTTACCAGCCACATCTGTTTCCTATCTTATATTGTTTTCTTTTTCTCTATTTTGCCTTTAAATTTCTACCACTGGAAGTTAGTGCGGAGTTACCATGCCTTCTTGTTTGCTGTTGTCAGCGGTGAGGAATGTAGAGGCAATTGAACAGTAAGCATAAGAAACTACCAGGTGAGTCTCAGTTGGAAAGGAAGCAAATTACATTTATGGCATCTTTAAGCCACTCAGTAAAAGAACAGTCTGGGAATAACTCTGTACTATCTCAACTAAGGGAAACGATGTGTCTGCAGAAGATGAAGACCTTGGGTTCATTGGAAATGCTGCAGACAGATCTTTTCTCACTTTGACACTGAGGTGCTGCAAATGGACAGTGCATCCTCTCCTGCACCTTAGGACAACACATACTCTTTACTCGGTATGTATCACATGCACAGATAGAAGGTGTCCATGAACAGAGGGATTCCGACACTGTTGGTACTAGCAGCCTCCTTCAGTGGGTGAGCCATGGTGTTCTCTGCATGCCTTCTCTATCTGATTATATCTTCATGTCAAAGGTCAGGTGTCCACGTGAATGCAATAAATGCTTGTAATCTCCTGCAGTTCAGCCTTGATTCTTTTATTGGTATTTGTTTTCTATTTGTTTCCTTCCTGTCCTTCAGAACAGATGTAAGGTCCAAATCTACGCAAAACAGCCAGGCAAATATTTGTTAGTGGTTACCTTTGCCTGTTTCCTGCTCGCCAGTCTTCTGCCTTGACTCCATTTGGCCTTGCTGTATCCAGCCTGCTTCTACAGCTGGGTATTGCTTAGAATTTTTCACTATGTTTAGGACAAGAGGAAATCTCCATCGACTTCGTTTGCAAGAGCAGACAGTGGAATTACACAGTCTCTAGTGCCTTTTCATCTTCTAATTCTCTAAAGAGAACCAGTTAATTTTCTCATCCTCTTCCAAGCACACCCACTCTTTAGAAAGCTTTTTCCTATGAGTTGAGATACTGCATGTGTATTTTGCAACTTCAAGCCTTACTTCTTCCTCCTAATCTACCCATCATTCCAATCATCTCTGAAATTCAGAAAAGACTCATTTAATGAGCACTTCCTTCCAGCATACAAATCTAAATATAAAGCTGGAGTATATTGTAGATTTACATCATTTACTACTATATCTTGATATCAATATTTAGCCTTTAGGCAATCTTTAGCTATAAAATGCCATATAGAAAAATATCTTTATTGTAATACACTTTTGTACAGGCAGATGGAGTAAGAGACTCACCCAGGAAAAGCGGTGGTGAAAGTGACTGTTAGACCTCCTGTTGCTGAGTTTCAGAAGAACAGAATGTAGAAAACAAAGGATAAAATTTAAAAGGTAAAAATTTACTGCAGGTTAAATTCTCCTTTGGGAAATGAACTTTTGTTAAGAACTGAATCTTCTAAAACATCTACTGATTTTCATGAAATACTACAATGAAAAGAACTGCCAAGTGCTTTAATAAAATCAGTGTGATTCTTATCCTTTATAGAATATATTTTCACTGTTTGAAACTCAAAGACATTTATTAATTAATTATCTTAGGGAAATGCATTTGTTTTCCTGAAATAGCATCTCCTCCAGAAATTTACATTTCAAGAAATTATAAAAAGTTCCCATTCAGAATGAGAACAACTTTAGAATCAGAATTTTCTACGAGTTCTGATTATTGAGCAGCTGCAAACGATTGGAATGATGCTATCACAGAAGTAACTTGAGAGTTTCATTGGAGATGCTAAAGATGTTTATAAATTAATTCTAAAACTGGAGAACAGAGTTGCATTCTTCCATCACTTCTGTCAACTCCTCTGGTGGGAATAATAATGCTAATGTTTTTTTTTGCTCTAGGTCTGATCACTAAATAGTAATGTCTTGACGTGAACTGATGCAACTGTCCATCTTTCAAAGAGATGAGTGCATTTGAAATGTAGTTACAGGTTAATTTTTCATTTGTTAACAAGCACAATGATACAACAGAAAGTTTGAAAAAATAATTAAATGCAACAATTAGTTAACTGCATGGAAAAATATTGCTATGTTCTGAGAATCTGAAAGGACTTAGGAAAAAATGCATTGTGGGAAAATTTCATATAACAAATGCTGTCTTTGTAAACAAAATATTGCTGATAGGAGTACTGACCTCTAAGAAGATACCAACTGTTGTTCATCTCTCATTCGTTTGCTGATCTAGATTTAATATTGATGTTAATCCAGATCTTGTTGCAAGTGATGACTGAACCCAACTATTTGATCATCATTTTAATGTTGGGGACTTACACCTTGCAGGAATGTGTTATTTTACATCAGCACATTTCTGTGGAGTGTAGGTCAAGTATACCACTGGGACAAACATCAGAACCAGGCATTTTGTATATTGTTGTTTGTCTTACAGCCCATAGCTCACTTCTGTCCCCTGCATCATTATCTGCTAAAACTTCTGCACTTAGAAATCTGCTGATTCTGGGAACATTACTAATAGCTCATGAAGCAGAGAAAATGCTGCCTCGTTCTGCTGCTTATACAGTTTTAACAAAGGAACGTAAAGCTTTGTTTCCAAAACAAGCAAATTCAAACAAAGCTATACAGAAAAGCATGGTTAATCTCTGATGAGACTTGCACAAATTTCAGTTGGGTTAGCACATCACCAGTTACTCAACACTTTCAGTACAACCATGTAAAAAATGAACATTTACTTTTTAATTATCAAGATGGTGATTATTTATTATTGAGCATTGTGCACAACATGAATTGTGTATATACTGTACAATGTGTATATATACATTGTATAATGTGTACATATACATATGTATAATGTACATGTACATTATACATACTACACAAATTATACATTTTATACATTAAATTGCGTTTACTGTTGTCAGTGGGAATTGCATGTCAGCATAATGTTTTCCTATTGCTCTGATCACTTTACCTCACTGTGCTTTGAGATGACATACCAGTACAGGTCTCCCCTCTTCTATGCATAGGTTTCAAGCTGCTTTTGCCTCTGTGCTTGGCTCTATATTGTTTCCTTCTCCAAATTTTTTAATGTTACTCTTTTTCGTAGGCACTTGGAGAAGAAAACAACAGTACATTGAAACTACTGTTTACTAAAATGCTTTACCAAAATAGCCTTTTGTTTTGGCAGCAATTCTGGTTTCAGCCAGGCTTCTGGGTCTAAGTGCAGGTCTTGCTTTGGTTTTGTACATCAGAAATATGAAGTGGTTACAAAGTGCCTTCCACAAACAAATTCTCTCTTCCCCTTCCATTTCCTTCTTCTCCTGTCTTCTTCCTTTCCTAAATCCCACTGGCAAGTCCTTTGAATAACTACACAGTATAATTAGTACTAACTAGTATTTCCATCTTTGCTTTGAAGGATCAGCATGGTTCTTCATGACAGAAGGAAAACAACATGGAACACAATCATTTCATCTAGAAAATCAGGTCCAAGAGAGGGGCTGAGAGAACCTCTACACCTAGACATGAGGCGAGTGAGTGAGCTTGTGTGGAAAAGCTAGGTCAGAGCTGAAGAGATGGCATTCATTGGCACAATCCCTTGCAGGATTTTATACTTAAAACAAAAATTCAGAAATTCCTTGCTGCACAAATAATTTTTGCATCAAAGCAGGCAAATGCTTTTTACTGCTCTCTTTCCTTTGATTTTTTTGTGTGTATTGCAGGAATTAGAGTTTATAGATTCTCAAACTGCCTGTAAATTGTGGAAATTCTTCCTTGTGTTGTTTGGCAGAGGTTCTGAGAAGAAAAAGCAGCAGTAGAAAGGCACTTGATACACATTTGTTGGCGTAACAGTAAATATGAACAAAACTGTTCTAGGAAACACCTTCTCTGAGAGGGGAAACAACATAAAGACTGTCCACTGATAATTTTATACTTAGTGACAAACTTACAGATTTATTTTCTGCCATACTAAGGAATTTCTAAGGGCTTGAGCTTCCCCTTTCAGCTGTTCTGTGAGATTTGCTCTGCCAGTCATCCTCTGCTGAACAGTTCCTGAATCCCATGTGTTCATGGGCCAGAAATCCTGGTCTCTTTTAGGTTTCAGCTGCACATGGAAAGGCTTAGAAACCCACTGCTGAGGATTCTGAGCATTGCTTTTCAGCTCCGACTATTCCTATTTCCTTTCTCTTTAGTATCTCTTTGTATCAAGGTCTCATTTATAATTGTCTCTGCTCACACTGGCCAAAATCTCTCTTGATAAGGGAACTAAAGCTTTGCAAGCTCCTAAAAGCTTTTTTCAAGAGCACATCTGGCCCAATTCAGCGAGAAGTTGATCTCCATGAAGAGAAATGAGAGTTTCTGCACCCACTGCAGTGCATGTAACCAGCTGCAGGTCTGAAACTGGTTCAGTTTGTTGTATGGGAGGAGTGTAATTTATGCTGTTACCTTTTCTTTCTAGATATGAGCATTTGCCCTCTCCTCCTGCCTATATGATAAAAGAAATCACAAAGAAGACTTCTTCCATCTCACAATCCTAGTTGCTGGGTTGTGGGAGATCCATAGAGGACATCATTGATAGGACATCACTGATAATCTCAGGCTCACACTGTATAAAACACAGAGAAACTCAAGGCTTCATAAAGGGCAGAGATTAATAATACGCTCTCTGAGAAAATCTAATTGGCATGCTGATACACTGAACACCACATGAGGACTGCCAAACTAAATTATTGTGGAAAACATCAGCTCTAGCAGATAAATTTCACTCTGAGACTCTTCTAAAAGGTATGCCAGCATCTTTTGATTAATTGACTTCTAATGCTTTTAAAGGAGTCATACTGCATGCTGAGGAGAGCCCATCATAAGCATTGGAAGGGAGATGGCCTTTCAAATTTATTTCTTGACTTTTGCCCAGTTGTTAAAGAAACAATATTTTTTCAGGACTGCATTGGCTAGGAAGCAGAAGTAGCAGTGCAGGAAGCAGCAAATAGTTTCCTGTTTTATTTTTAACCTGTCCCTTCACTTATTTAACAACTTAATGATATGTCATAAAATAATATTATTTTCCTTTATTTTTGGTTTTATTTTAGCTGTACTATAAAGTGATGTCCAAAATAAGCACTGGGAAAAATCTGCTTCTGCTACCACTTTCTAGAGCTGTGCAAGCTGTACAGGCTCTCTTTTATGACTGCTAAGCAGCCTTGCAACTCCAGCCTTTTTTTACAAAACAACTCATCTCCCTATCTGGAGGCATTTGTGTAGGTACTAGATTTAGTTGTCAGAACAGAGTTTTGTTTACATGATCAAGTGATTCACTGTGTATTTGTTGACATCAGTGTTACCAAGGGATTAGGGATTCCAAGACACAGGGCTTCTGATCTTCCAAGAGACATCCTGTATAACAGTCCCCTCAGAGAGCAGAAGGGTCAGCTGTAAGTTTAAGCCACTTTGATGCAATAGTAAATTCTCATCTCTTCTGCACTGAAACAGGACCGTGTAGTTTAGCTCAGAAGGCTGCTGAGATTACAGTAGCTTCCTTCCTTTAGAGGAGGCCCTTCTGTCTTGAAGCTATTATCAGGAAAAACAGAAAGTGATGCAGAACTATAAGGTGTAAATAACAGTGTAATCTCTATGATTTAGAAAACTCAAAATAAGTTTAACCACTTCTTCGTAAGTCTGAATTGACCCGTTGTGGAAATACAAGAAATAAAGTGTAAGCTGCAATAGTAGCACTAGTTGTGCTAGTTCAGTGTAAGCTGAAATTTAATTAAAAAAAAAAAAAGGAAAATGGAGAATTGTATTGTTTGCTAATTTATACCTTAAATAACTTCAGTGGGACTGGATGTGGTACAGCTTCCCCTGTGAGGAAGAAGCAGACGGTTCAGTCACTTCCTGATTTCGCCTGAAAGCCAAGGTCTGCTAGGGACAGGCTGGCCTCCCTCCAGCATTACGCCTCCCTTGGGTGCATTTTTGCCGTGCTCAAGTTCTGAGGCTGGAGAAATCCCCTGACTTGTAGTTTGTCCCCTCCATTGACCAGATTTTCCTTCTTTTCTCCTTCTGTTAAAGCAGATATACTGTACCAGGCCACACAGTGGTGTTCATTGCAACAGACATACTGAATCTGCAAGGGTCTGATTACAGCTGGACAACTATTTCACTCTTCTGCAGGATTGCAGGAGTAGCAGATCTGTGCACATTGAATGTTTCGCTCAGTACTGCTTTGAAATCACAGCTTTCTTTCTTGGTTTGGTCCCCAAACCATAAGAGTAGTTACAGAGCAGGAAATAGGTGGGGAAATACCCCATGGCTTTTTACACTTGCTTTGCACAAATTAAGATGCTGGCATGTGGAAGAGTAACTCATTGTCCAGTTATTGTCCACAGTATACATCCATTCTTCAACCACAAGTGACCTACTGCATGCTTTTCTTAGCAAACAGCTTGAAAGCATCTGGTTTTGAGTTGCCGAAAGGACATAAAGGTTACGTATATGAATCTGCGTTCTTGGGAGCGATGCTGCACTGTGAATCCCTCACTTGTTTCCAGGGGTGGCAAGTGCAACCTGTTTCCTTTCACACAGAAAGAAGTGCTTATAGGCTCTGAAAATTACCTTGCCAAAACTGTGCAGATTGAAGTAGAACATGAAGGTACTGGGTGCTTGTACCAAAGAGGAGAGGAGAGAAAAGGAAAGGAGGGGTGAAGAGTAAAGAGAAAGGAAAAGGAAAGAAGAAAAGATAATGTTCCTTTTTAAAACTCTTATTTTCCTTGAGTTTCTCTCTTGTGTGCTTCCCTGGGACTTTTCCCACCTTCAGTCAGTCAGTGAAACCAGCTCATCCACTCATCTTCATCACCATGCAATTTTTCAACAGGATTAGAAAAGGCAAACTGTTTTTAAGATAAATAATAAAACCAACCCTTTTAAGATGTTGTTGTTGCTTATTTTCCCCAGTGGATATAAAAAAAAATAAAAAGAACTCCCCCGAGCAGCACATTTGAGAAGCTGGAATGCTTTTAAGTGCAACAGATTAGAAGGGGTGCTTAGACATAATGTCCAGCGCTCTTTAAAAATAACTCCTTGGGGGAATTTCTACATAATTCTTCATGATTAAAAACTTTACAATTTGCTGCAGTAAAATTAAAATTGCTTTATTACATCAGTTGTTGAAGCAGCCTTCTGTTATGCTGAGCCATCTGACTGCTGCTGTGTTTCACTCTTCTGTTCCACTGGCCCGAGGAGAACTTGTCCTAGAGCTATTGTAATGGTCTAGTGAGTAAGATCAAGTCTTCAGCTATGTAGCTACTTGTTGCACAGACTTTTTATTAACCTCCTCCCTTCACTTTGTTTAGGGAAATAATTCTCAGTGAGGGAACAACAGCCTGCAGTTAGGGATTACTGGGAAGAGCAGGATGGCAGAGAGAGAGGGGGGACAGCTTGTGTGGCTCTTGTCCTTCTCCAGCTGCCTTCCCATCCTCCTTTAGCTAGGCACAAAATTCAAACGCTTGATGTGAGGGCTCACACACAGCATAGTCCCCAGATCTGGGTAAGAGTTGGATCCAGCCCTGCTTGTGTTTGTTATGCGTTGGTGACATTCATTATTAATAATTTATGCACTGTATCATAATAAATGTGGGGAAAAAGGTGTAGCAGCAATAAAAATATATTCTGATTAAATGCTTTCTGTCTGTTACCTAAAAGGCATACATTGTAAATAAAGCCTTCTGGTAGCATGAAAGAGAAGGTGAATGTGAGCAGTCAGAATAGATTTACCAAAGGTAAATC